AAAAAAGCCTCTAGGTTATCTAATATTGGATCTTATCATTCAAAAAAAGATAAAAATTATGATAATGTTGAATCTAAAAGAAGTGTACCAATGAATTTAACTTGCAATCCTAGAGTTGCATAGTTTTGGAATTGAAGTTCAATCATAAGTTGTATTTAATTGATAAATCCTCAAAATTTAGATTTTATGCCATCAAACTTCTCAGATAGTGTAATCCTTGGTTCTCTAATACTTGAAGGGTGTTCTACTATAGGAAAAAGAACTTGATTTGGTACAAATGTTGATGCAACTTTAATTATCTCTATATCTTTGTTGTTTTGTAGTAACACAATTATATGATGAAAAATAAAAACATGGATGTTGTTATAGAAGAGCTTAATAAAAAGTTGTAATAAAAAAATAAGGATAAATGATAGAAAGATAATAAAAGATTTAATCTTAATATTTTTTTTAAAAAAAATAATTTTATTTATTTTATAGGAGTATAAATACCTCAAATTAAAGAAAATGACATAAGTGATTAATATAGACATGTTTATAAGGGGATTATGAATAGATTTGAATAAAAATTATCTCAAATTATCAAATGTTGATACTTAGAGAGGACCAATTATTAACCTAGGTCAAAATCATATCCTAAGGTACAAAACCACATACCTACAACAACTCCAGGATTTTTTGGTAGATCAAAGAGTAAGATTTGAGAGCAAACTCGTAAAAATATTTTTATGAATTAATTCTATGTCAATTAAATAAATATTTAGTTTTTGGAGGATTTTTAAAATTAATAATATTCTCAATTGGATTAGATTTTGAAAAATAAAATTATGATTATAAAATTGAGCGTCTCTTGAGTTCTCTAGTATGTGTACAGATAAATTTTAGATAGAATGTTGGTATACTAGTTATAAATGTGTGTAGAAATTTTGAAGTCTAAACTACTTTAGAATTAGATAAATTTGATTAAGATTTGATTTAAGATTTAAGAATTGGTTAGGATTTAGAATTTTTTTAGGATTTAAAATTATTTAGGATTTGACTTAGGATTTAATTAAGGACTACTAGAATTTTAATTAAAATTAAATTAAGACTTGATTGGAATTAATTCAAGATAGATTTAGGATTTTATTCTAATACTTCTTTTGAATTTCTTTAAGATTTTTTCATACTTCTTTCGTAATTCTTTTAAGCTTTTTTTGGATTTGATTAAAGCTTGATTAATATTATTAAGATTTAATTAAATTTATTTAGAATTCTATTAGAATTAAAATCTTGTTGTTGTAATTTTTCTTCTACCTTCTACATCCAGGTGCTTAGTACATTTTCAAGCAAGACTTCATGTAATATGACATAAGTAGTGAACTTGACATGAAATCTTGAGATGAAAGGTATTGGAGTTGCTTATTTTTTATTTTTATTTATTTAATGGATAATACAAGTAAATTTTTTGAAAGAACTATGGGAGAAACTTTAAATAGAGCTGCTAGTGGAATTTCTATTAAAGAATAAGATATTTATATAGATTCAATCATTGCAAGCATGTTCCAAGCTTTTATATTATCTATGCAATAACAAAAAAAAGCAATGATTACAACGAAGCTTTGGCAACCAAAGCATTGCAAGCAATAGTTAACAAAGTTGATCAATTTGATGGGAGAGACATGTCAAAGTATCTAAGATATTATGTGCAAAAAATGGAATTAAATTGGATCTTTGACAAGAAGATGATTGAATTAATTTGACTTGCTACAGTACCAAAGATATGAAAACTTGTTATATCAATTATAAAGCATTATGGAAGTTCATGGGAGATATCATTACCTGCATTAAAAGACAAATATTTCTTAGAAGATACTAATTATGTTATTAAGAAATTATTTCTAGGATGGATTGAATAACCTAATAAGAATTTACAAGTGATAAAGCTATTAATGAAGTTAGAAAGGTAATATTTTCAATTATCAAAGTTGGAGAAGTTGACATTGGAACCAAAGAAGGTTAAGTTATTTCTTCAAGCAGCCAATGGAGAATTACAAGAAAAATTGGAATTGCTACTTTATGACAAAAAAAAAAAAAGATGAAGGATTAACAACAAAGTAGAAAAATGTTGAAGGTGTTGTCAATTTACTTGTTAAAAGAGAGAAGATAAAGGACAAGATTAATACAAGTAGCTAAAAATCAAGTGCATATACCTTGACCAATAATGCCTATTATTCAATCTTTAGGATCTACATCCAAGAAAGAAGATATAGGAGGTGAAAAAAATTATATGTGGCATGCGAGATCTTTAAATCAAATTGACAAGACTTGAAGAAAAGACTTCTACAACCAATTTGAAAGCTATTTCTAAACAAGTGAATATACAAAGATGCATTTGGTGTAACGATATTTCTTATACTAGGAAGAATTGTAATGAATTTGATAATATGGTGCAATGAGGAGTTATTTTTTGGAAAGATGGAAAAGTAGCTATAAAGGATACAAGAGACCTATTTCAAACCAATTTTGACAAGGGAGATATGAGAACATTGATTCAAAACTATTTAATAGCACATGAAATAGCAACATGAAAAAATACAAGTTATGGTGCTAGGGTAGATGATAACTTTGACAAAAGTGTAGAGACAAGTTGATTTTGGACTTTGGCCATTTTTACGATGTAAAAAGAAAAGATGATTGAGAAGTGTTATTGAGAACTACAGCTACAATATGAGGTATAACAGATTGAGAAGATCTTGTAGAAGTTCTTTTGATTCATGCATATATTGTTATGAGCCAACATAAAGCCTTGATGGAAAAAAAGAAAAGAAATGTTTTTGACAATATAAAAGAAGGAAATTCTTTTAAGAGGCAAACTTGAGGAAACAAAGCTTGTGAGGTGGCTTCTTAAGAATTACTCACAAAAGATACTTCAACAATATTAAAAGAAAAAAAAAAAAAGATAAAAATAAATCAATAGCTTATAAATTACTCTCTGATATTGAAGTAGCAATTGATTTAAAGGAAGTATTGGAAGAGTGTGTATTAAATGCTAAGGTAGAGTTTACATTAAGAGAGATTTTAAGGATTACAAAGAAGGAATTTCATAATGTTATTATTCACAGTATTAAAAAGAAGAGACAATTAATGGATGAAGCTGGAATGAGTTATACTATTGATGCAAAAATATACAAGGGTGAAGAAGAGGTTGATAATGATCACAAGCAATCAACAAATGGAATGAATAGTTATAATCAACGAGTACATTTTAAAGATTATAGTAATAAAGAAATGGATACTTTAAGCCATTATACTCGAAAGCATTGAATGAGAGCAACTATATAGATATTGGTGAAGATGGGAGATATAGAAGAATTGGTTGTTACTTTAATTGACCATGGTTTTAAAATAAAACTTTTGTTTAAAGATCTTTATAAGAAGTGAAGATGGCTAATTGATACGGAGCATAGATAGACAATATGAGTATCTAATAACAGACAAGGTGAATTATATAGAGTTTATTCAGATTTTAAAATCTGGATTGAAGATGTTGTAATAGAACAACATTTCTTTATTAAAGATGTAACATCATATCCAATGATTTTAGAACAACCTTACATTACAGCGACACAAATGGAAACAAAAGTTTTTGATGATGGTTCAGCTTATGCATAGATACATAGTGAAGATGGAAAAAAAAAATAGTATAATTTTTAACCGTACCTTCTAATCATGACCAAAATTGAGATAAATTGAAGAAGAAGCTATTGCCAAGAATTGTTAAAGGATTCAAGGATTTTGAACAAGTATCATTGTTAAGCGAGATTATGGAGGTAGAAAAGGAGAGGTACTCTTGCAAGATGTAAGTGTAAACTTAACTAAATTACATCACTTTTTATGTTACAACCATATAAATTGTGATATTGCACTACAATTTTATTTTATTTTTTTATTTATTCAAACAATAGAATAATAAATTTTGATTAAATCCAATATGTGTTTCTTTACATTTTTATTTAATTATTTTAATGGATTTACTTTCATTTGTATTATATTTTTATATATCTTAGAATAAACTTAAAATAGACTGAACATTTTAGGTTTTAATGTATAAATACTTCTTCTATAATTCTTTCAATACTAAATTCTTACATTTATTTTATAATTTTTTATTCATGAGATTTCAATTATTTTAAATTTATATTCAATTCAATAAAATTAATTTTTAATTGTATAAATGATAGTTATAAAATCTTTTTAACTTTTTTATTTTTAAATTTATTTATTTGGTCTTTTAATTTTTTATCTCATCAAAAATCATGTTAATATAACTTTATTTGATTTTTTAGAATATTATTAAAAAAATAACATTCTAATTATAAATACAAAGTAAATAAATAAATAAATATATATATCTTTATATATATATAAATTAATAAAAATAATTTTTTTATCAATAAGAAAATATTTTACATATTAGATCTAAAATTGGTTTAAAATCAATTTAAGTTGATTTATAATTAAAACAACAATCTTGCTACAAAGAAATAAAATTATAAATAAAAAAATAGAAATTAAAAAAATATATAATAATATTATAAAGAATATTACTAAACAACAATAGATTCAATTTATATCAACTTTCATATCAATTCTTACACAATCAAACAAAAAGTAACAAAATTCTATGCTATCACTATTAAAAAAACTACTTTTTAAAAAAACACACTCAAAAAAGAAAAGAAAAGGTTAGAAACAACTACCCAATTCATCTTCATGAGATATAAACAAAAATAGAATTAAAAATTAAAAAGTGAAATATAGTTAATAAAAGAAGAATGATTTGTGTTGTTAGACAATCATCCACTAGGAGTAGTTCTTGGCACTCTTCAACTTCAAACCTTCACCCTCAACCCCCACTCACTCACTCAATCAATGAATCACTCAATGGAGTGAGTGAGTGAGTGAGTGAGTGTAAATTAGGGTTTCACACTGAAGAATTCCACACAGGAATCCGTCCGGGGCTATTATTTCCTCGAAGCATCATCGCCACTTTAATGCCATACCGACCTCGACCATGTCGTCGTTGTTGCTAGGGTATGTGCGACCACGACGAGACCGGGAGAGATGGACTGACGCCATCCACACCACACCCACCGGCTTCGTGCTCGTGTGATTGTTCACCAGCTTCTTCTTCTTCTTCTTCTTCTTCGCAGATCGCGAGAAAGCGCACCGATTTCGCAGTTGACGCGAGCATGCTGGAATGGCGACGTCCTCACGCAACGTCGTGGTTTGCGACAATGGCACTGGGGTACGTTGAATGATTGTTCATTGCGTTTTCTCAGATGCTTGAAGCCAATGCATGCGCCTGGTCCTTTTATACATGGTTCGTCCTTCGTGGAGTGTGGGTGTCGAGGTGGATCTTAGTGATTTGATTTCCGTGTATGGTCCGATGCTTCTCAACGCTCGTTGAACTTTATAGATTTTTTTTTTTTTTTTTTTTTTTTTTTTTTCAAAATACGCTAAATCGGGCTTGCCCTCGAGTATATCCTGATCATTGAGGGAATTGTTTAGATGGGGTGCGGGTCCTGGTTTGTGCCTGTTAGAATCCTCGCCGAGGTATTGAGATCATGTTGGTTGGATCAGGGCTCTTTGTGATTCTTCGAACAATTTTGGGTCCCTCGAAGCTGTTTTCTTAGTACTTAGAACTTAGTATAACTGGGTTCGCAAGGGTTTGCAGCTCGTTGGATTGTGGACCTATCATAGGTGTGTATTGTAGTTGGTGTGCAATCACTGGTTCGTGTAAACTAGGATTGAGTTTATTGGTCGGTAGCAATGGACCTGTTGGGATTACAATGCTAATTTAGCATCGTGAATGCCCGGTGCTGAGTATTTTTTGGCGCATTACAGAATTTAAATGAGTATTGGTATTTTTTGTAAAACTCAGGGTCCTCGAATTGACATTAATACTCTCATTATTCTTAATGTAATTATGATTAGAAAAACCGTGGAGAATCACTCTTAATTCCTTGTTTGACCTATTTTGCACACTGCAAGGATCAAATCTCGCAACCGTATTGTCATATGCAGTGTAGTTTTTAAAGTCAACCCTACTGCTTCTCGGAAATGAGAAGCAGTGAATACTCCTCCCATCAATGGCTTGCATTAATCATTTGATTACTGTGACTAGTAATGGATGTACTAAATTTGGTTTACAATTGTAACTTGTCTGGGTACCTCCATATGGACTAGTTAGTGGGTTGTATATCCCTTACATATATTTGACGTCCTTGCTCCTCTTGGTCTATAACAGTACCCTTGATAAGCATTCGGGATGGTTGAGCTACTATGAACATCTTGGATGATAGCTCAGGAAACCTGACTTCGTGTTCATCATGTATTATTGATGGTTTGCTTTTGCAATCTCACCAGCAGAAACAGTAATCAAAGGTCAATGTGCATTATTTGATGCCTTTTCCGGCATGTGTAAGTATATCAATGGTCGTCTCACCACTGCTTAACACCGTGTGCAGTTTGTCAAGTGCGGATTTGCAGGGGACAACTTTCCAGCTGCAGTGTTTCCATGTCTAGTGGGTCGACCTATGCTGCGCTACGAGGAAGATCTTGGAGACAATGAATTGAGAGTAAGTTCTTTGGCAGGCCTCTAGTATATTCGCTGTGAAGAGAACTTGGTTGCCTCTTGATGGCAAAGAGGGTATTTGATAGAAGAATACAATTTGCATAGGACAAGTTGTGTGCAAATTTATTGAGTAGACCATCAGTATTCGGAAATCCATTTTGACCGAAAAGTGTGAGATGAATTTGTGTCTATTGCTGAGATACTCCTGGAATCAATTTCATATGTGACACTTAATTTATCTAGTGATTATTCAAGCTTTTATGGAGACTGCTCACTTGGAGCCAATTCATAATCGATCTTGATTATATTCATTTCTCTATGATGAATCTGCTGGTTTGCGTTTGTAGATTTAATTCTATGTGAGGATCGTGTCCTTGTGGTTTCGGGTAGTTTTTTGTTTAATCTAGAGTGGCACTCTGCACCTGAAACACCGTCGCTTTCTTTTACTAAGGTATATGACGCAGTGCGTGTAACGACGTAAAATTTGTTTTGTGTTCTGTTGGACAGGACATAGTTGTGGGAACTGCAGCTTCCGAACACCGGCAGCAGCTGGAAGTTACTTATCCGATCACGAATGGCATTGTGCAAAACTGGGAAGACATGGGCCACATATGGGACCATACCTTTTACAACATCTTGAAAGTAAGATGTTTTGTGTGCCAATCAAATCTTTTGGCTCGTAGCTTTTTCTCTCCCGAAACTACTCTTTTTCTCACTTAGTCGATTTTTGTACAATAGCGTAAGCTTTTGTCCGTGTTCGTACTCTGCACTGTGTTCAACTACACTAATCACTCTTCTTTATTGAATGTTAAGGTGGATCCTTCAGAATGCAAAATTTTGCTCACGGACCCACCTCTGAACCCTACCAAAAACCGCGAGAAAATGGTATGCCGACAGTCTTACAGTTTTTTGTGTGTACTTATAGACCAAGCTTTGTGTGCTTGTGTTTTACCACAAAACACACGCCTTAATTATTGGCGGTAGGGCAGAGCATGGAGCTTTTTGATGTGAATTTTTTGGTTACTTAACAGATTGAAACTATGTTTGAGAAATACAATTTTGGCGCTGTATTTATCCAAATCCAAGCAGTCCTTACTTTGTATGCACAAGGTGAAAGTTTTTTCTGATCCAAACTTTTGAATTTAGTAGAAGCTCAGTTTATTTGAGATACCAGTAGAAGTCAAAAGTCTAAATTGAATTACACTCGTACATCGCACAGTATGTTTTTAGATGAAACACTCAAAGAGTTTTTGTTGCTTCAATTTGCCTTTGGAACTTCAATAACGAGAAATAACACTCATCACCCTCAGGTGCATGCGAAAGTGGACTAGGTAGTTGTAGGTAGGGATTACTGTGGCGAACAATGTTCGTTGGTTGAAGTTTTTGAACAGCGCTGTCGTCATTCAACCTTAAGATTTGATTCCAGATTCGTTTTCTCTGCTAAATCTCTCATTGGGCCTGAAGCAAGGGTTCTTTAATTAAGTTATTAGTTACTATCGATCAATGTTTTGCCTCACAACTCCATTTAGTAAGAATGTGATGCGAAGAAAGGTTGTTCTGTTTTGAATAGACATTGTTACAGTTGTGCTTCTCTTTGCGTTGGGCTTTGTGATGATCCTCGAGTATGAATGATCTGGCACAAGTACGTATCGGTCATTAAACGTTCTTGGGTTTCTTTGATGACAGGGTTGCTGACCGGCTTGGTTGTCGATTCTGGCGATGGCGTCACACATGTGGTATGCTTTACTTTCACTTCACTTGATTTATTTAGGCCAAAGATGTGCAGTTTTATTCTGTGTGTCCTCCTATTTTTGAAACGAGTCATATTTGGACAAGTCTTTTGTGACACCATTCTCATAGTATACTTCAATTCACAACTTGCCAACTTTCATTCGCATGCCTTGGTGATGTTGTGGATAGGTACCGGTGGTGGATGGATACTCATTCCCTCACTTGACCAAGCGACTCAATATTGCGGGGCGTCATATTACTTCTTATCTCATCGATCTCCTACTTCGGCGCGGGTGGGTCTTACTTCCCTGGGTATTGATGGATAATCAGGTTTGCTATTTTGGAAAGGATTCGTAAGTTTTTTTTTTTTTTTTTTTTTTTTTTTTTTTTTGTCAAAAGTTAACTTGCATCGTTTTATATGGATTTGGTCCTACAGCTCAATCAGAAACCTAAATGACTTTTGACAATCATTACTGACCTCCTTGTGTTGATATTTTGGGTTTCAATTTATAGGTATGCATTCAATAGGACAGCAGATTTTGAGACGGTCAGGGAGATTAAAGAGAAACTTTGTTATGTAAGGTAAGCTTAGAGTCTTCAATAAACTCATATCTTTTACCGCGACTGGCTCGCCTTAAGATCGATACATTGTTTGCAGGTTTCCATCTTTAGTAACGAAAAGAGACTTCTTTTTCTTTATTTTTATTTTTTAATTTTTAGCATGGATTTAGCTATCGTGAGATGACTGAGTTTTCTTGTTTCTTGTGTAATATATGCATAAATAATGTGGCAGATTATAATTGTTGAGGCAATCTTTATAATCTTGACTTCTGAAACTTTGTGGCATACTGGTATACTCTCTTTAAATTCATGTTGTTAAACCCCTACTAAGGTGTCATGTTTCTGTCTCCAATGAAAATGTCTGTGAGGTGTAAATCATCGAGGTTGTGTCTTGTTTTCGGTTTCATGTTCGAAATATGAAAGTCTAAAGCAACCTTCCAGTCATCTGCAGTAGTTTATGGGGGTATAGTTTTCATGATGTAACTTGGGTGGCAGCATCGATTACAAGCGTGAACACCAACTTGCTCTTGAAACGACAATATTGGTTAAACAATATACGGTGAGTACACAAAAACATTGTTTGGTTTCAAATCAGCTGATCACTTATGTTCGCAGTTTTTTTCAGGTTTACGATATGTGTTGCGACTATTTCACGCGTTAACCAGTCTCCCCACAGTCACGCTCATATTTTGGTTTGCTTTTAATGCAGTTACCTGATGGGAGAGTAATTAAGATTGGCTCAGAACGTTTTCAAGCTCCTGAAGCTCTCTTCTCACCGGTAATATTCGTGGCTTCTTGGTTTTATTCTCATATCTCTTTAGGCACGAATTGATGATCTTGTATCCAACATATAAATTACTGGTCATAATATGACACAAGAAGTCTCTTTGATGTGTTCTCACTTTTATTGACGTGACGTTCATGTAGGAGTTGATAGACATGGAGGGTGACGGGTTGGCTGGCGCTGTATTTCGCTGTATTCAAGAAATGGACATTGATAATCGCATGTCGGTCAGTACAGTTCAAGGAAGCTGTGTTGGTGTCTGAAATTTCTTATCCTGTTTTGAGATCACTAGGACGTACTGGCTCAATACATTACTTGCTTGTGTTCTTCCTTCTAAAAATTGTTAAGCAAACAGCGTCTTTTTGATTTCACTTAAGAACGATTCTCATACCTACTGCCCAATTTGCGTAGTGGTAGAATTCATCTCTGTAGTGTTTCATAAAAAATTGCTTACTTTGTAGTGTCATGGCAGCTTTACCAACACATAGTTTTGAGTGGTGGAAGCACAATGTATCCCGGACTTCCTAGCAGGTACTGTTCCCTTTTCTTGATTTTCGATCATCTTTAAAGTTGGTTTTTTGGCTGTTTTATGAGTTCTTTCCCTGGACCTCACGATAGACTAGCAATATTTTATTCGAGATAGGATACAACAAAAAAGAAGTTATATTGTGATACGATACGAAATACTGGACTGTTGAACTTCAGCAAGAATTAAAGACCTACCCCTCATAGTTTTAACATCGGATGTTAACATCAAACAGATTGGAGAAAGAGGTTCGTGAACAGTTTGTGCGTGTTGTCCTGAAAGGGAATAGAGAGGGTCTCAAGGTACAACCTTAACCTTGTCTCTGTTATTCGTACACAATTTTGTTAATGCGTTAAAGAGAATTTGTATCAATGAATACATCCCATATGAAGCTAGCAGGTTAAAGTTGTGCATAGAACAGCAATTGAATGAAAATTGTACTGGCATTTCAGAAATTGAGATTACGAATTGAAGATCCACCTAGACGGAAACATATGGTTTATCTAGGTGGCGCTGTCCTTGCTGGAATTATGAAGGTCAGTTTTATGTTTTCGACACTCCTTTGCTTATGATCTATGCCTTGTCATTGATTGTCCGCAACGAATATAATGGCTGGGATTCTGTTGAGGTTGTAGTGTCTCCCCTCCTGCAAGTTTTAGGTGTTTTGTGTTTGCACTCTGTTGACTCTCAGAGCATTTTTCACCGAAGCACGCAAGCAATGCAGGCCAGTTTTCCTCTCGTCCACAATTTATACATTCCTAGGATATTTACTATGTTCTACATTTGTATTTCAGGATCAACCGGACTTCTGGATCACCAAACAGGAATATGAAGAAGAAGGAATGAACTGTTTGCGAAAATGCGGGCAAGCCTAGAGGACGAGTCTCACTATTTGCCTTCCCAGAAATACCGTCTTCTCTTAATCACACACGAGTTCTGCTATTCCTAGATGTACATGTCACACAGGCAGAACTTTAGAAGTGCTGCAGACCTGCAAGTCTTATATCGATTTAATGTTAATCATTTAGGAAGGTTGAAATGCCAGTAAGTGTATGCTCAACACTGGTATCTATTTAGAGCTAAGTTCACATCTCAGCGTCACGTACGAATATTTGTAGGTGATAGTATTCGCAAAAGTAATTGTTGGTGAGCAAGACGAGAGCTTTCCTTCCTTCAGCTTGCATATCATGCAGTGAAATATTGGTGTTAATAGTTATTGCAATCCTTTATTACAGCGTATACTTTTCTAAACCAGCCAGTATTAGAGCATATTGGCAGCTACGTGAGGTCTAAAATCGAATCACCTTCTGTGGATGATACGTGGAATTGAAACTTGGGAGTACCTACACCTGACATATTCATTACTTAAAGCCATAATATGTAATTTCACATCCACTTTGCATTTCCATTAATTCAATCTGGTTTCAAACAGCCCTTAATCCTCGTTGTCGACAAATCCTCTAGCTACAGAACCCCATCATTCTTTCAGTCGAATTCCCGAAGACTCTGCCAGTCTGAAAATCTGCTCCTGCAACATCTCTCCCTTTCCGCCAACTCCACGGCACTCAGGTTGGGTGATTGTTGTTAAGGAAGAGGGTAGAAATAAGTTTAAAATTGCCCGAGTAGTGTAGTCAAGCTAGATTTCAATTTATTTTAAGAAATCACAGGGTTAGCAAAAGATACCTATACATCTTGTATGCAGAAAGGTATTTTGTTGGGACAAAAACCATGCAAGCGATAACAACCAGAAGGGATTTTGGAGCATCAAGCACATTCTAGAAACTTTAGGACAAATAGAATTTAGGACAAAAAAATTGACAAATTTTTTAGAAACTTTGGTAGCCTATAACACATTATTTAGAAAAAAATTTAAAAATTTAAAAAAAAAAAAAAAAAATCCATTAGGTTCTCAAGAAACTATGTCAAATTTTGATGAGGACTAAATCTCATATTATTAAAATTGGTGGTAGTATCTTTTAAGTTGAGATGTATCTAAACATAGAAGTTGCAATTTTCTATTCTATTTAAATTGACTAGAATAGTTTGATATATGAAGAATACATGCAAAGAATATTAATACAAGTATTGTATAAAACTTTGTTTAAAATATGGATTTTCTAGCAATATGACACAAATTTCTATCCAAAAATCAATTTGGCAGAAAATTGGGAAAAAATCTAGGAAGTATGGATTTATTTAAAGAGTTTCTAAATGGGTTATAAAAAATTACTTTGCAAGTGTTGTTGGCATTGACAAGATTTTAGAAATTGGTTAAAATAATATCTCAATTATAAACTAATTTTTTATATGGCATTTGCCTTAAGAAAAGGATTAAAATTAAAAATACTTATTTTAACCAAATTATGTAAAAAATCATGTTACACTTAAACACAAATAAATCCTTACAAATTATACTAATTTTTCAATTTATTTCCAATTATATTAGACAATTGACTATTAAATATATAACTACATAAAATTATTATTTTTAAAATATAAATAATTTAATACATCCAAAAAATCAAAAATAAAGTTTGAGAAGCAAAAAAGAATGGCTAGGAATGGTAATGAGATATAATTGCAAGATTAAAGCCATAAAAAACATAATGGAATGTTAAATTGACTCAATACTCTTTATTCTCCATCTCAACCTTCTATTTCCATTCCCAACTCTTATCTCCCATTTCCATTTGTGCGTAATATTAAAAAAGAATAAAAAACCAATTCCATAATTATACTTTTTTTGTAATGAATAAGATTAAAAAAATATAACTTAATTTTCAAAAAATTAGATAAAATAAATTTATTATCAAGTAGTCTATGGTTATAACCATGGTGAAGTATAAAATCATGGTGTTCTTTAATGCAATATGGAGGTTAAATTCTTACTGCTCTATTAGAAAAAAAAACAAGCTTTGAATGTCTTATAAAGATGAAATAAAATAACAATAACACCAATAATAATAACAATACTAATTCCAAATAATATCTTTGGTATCTTTAGTAATATAACAAAGAATGTTTAGTAATTTAGTGATATGTGGAGGTAATTTTTGTCAACAAGTGTGAAGATAATTATTAAAAAATATCAAATTCTTTGTAAGTTTATAATGTCATATGTGTATTTATTCTTTGTTATCATCATATATTTTTAGATAATATTGAAAATATTGACTTATCTATTTTTGAATCAATGTTACTTTGATTGATTGATTGATTATGTATGCATCAACCAAAATGGATATAAGTGACTATACTATTAAGAGCACTCTTTTATAAAAATAATTTTAACTTTTATTATTGGATTATTTTTTTATATTTTTTAAAATTATAACATATTTTAATTTTATTTATTTTTTATCATATTACATGAGAAGTGTTGTAGCTTTATAAAGTCAATCATCAATTGACTTTTTTATCTAATTTTGTAATTTTTTACATTCAAGATCCTTCTTTAAGTTTACTTTTTTGAATATAAGTGATTAAAGAATAAATGGTAAAGTACATAGCATATAGACTATGATGCAATACATGTCAAAGATATGAAACTCAAAGAAAGAAAATCCTCAATACACTCTTGAGTCATTGAAAAGAACTACAAAATTATTTAAAGATGATATAATATTGAATTAGAATGGCTATTGCCAAAAACAAGAAGACTAAAAAATCTTGAAACAAGACTAATGACTTAAAAGGCATCAATAAGAGTGAAGAAGGCTTTATTCTTGCCTCCATATATACTCTTAACTAGGAGCTATATGGCAATGTCTTATAGGACCTCCAAAACATGTTGACTTTGCAAGATACATATCTTAACTTGCAAAGTAAGTTTTTTATATGTGTGCCACATAGTTAACTTGTTTCACAAGCTACCAATACGTGGTTAACTTGTTGACCAAGTTTCTAACCTGCCAATCAACTACAAATACATGTACAATCAAAGCAGTGTATATAAAGCTTTTAAGAAGCTTCTTTAGAAGGTATTATGAAGTAGGTTAATGAAACTAACCTACTTTTATCTACTTTTATCTACTTCTACCTAATCAAATATGTATTTACTAGAGTACTTATATATATCCATAACATTAGTCCCTCTTCCAAGGACAAGTTCCACAAGAAATAGTCTTCATATGTTGAAGAAATCTAAGATGCAATAAATTATATTTGTAACATATTCTGACCTTTGTTTTCTTCAAAGATGGTTAATAGGTCCTCTTAGCCATCAATAGTATCCTTTATCAAGGCAAAAAGACCACCTTGCTATTTAGTTGTTGTTGGTGCTTTCATAACTTCCTTCAAATAAAACATTTGGAATACCATCAGGAGTTGTTTTTACCTCTAATAAAATCACCAAACATTGAAAGTCTCTTTCAAGATCGCGATATCAAATACATTGTATCTTGCCATCTATTCAAAGAAGGACATGTGATTTTTGAGGATCTTCATCTCAATTTTGTCATCTTGAAGGTTGTGACAATTGTAATGTCTTGTCTAGTAAGTCCGCAAATGAAAGCTCTTGAGTTGAATTTGTTAGTTATTGGTTATCCATTTCTTTAGTGTGACAAATACACAAAAGCTATAAAGAAAAAGAGAATATAGAGTGTTATCTTCTATTCATCTTGTTTCTTTTATAGCAAAGATTTTTTATTCTTCATCTTTGTTTTGATGGATGTCATTGATAGAAAGCTTCAACTCTCCTTCCTCCATTTACAAGATTCTTTGCTAGCTTCAATGTGCATTCACTAATATCATATTCACACCAATAAACAAGATATTTCAACCTATTTCGGTACTACCTTCAATCTAAGACTTCTTCTACCTCAAAATTTTCATTATTATTCACTTTTATAAGAGGAGGTGATATTTGTCTTCTTCCCAAGATATTCATTGTCTTATAAGGCTCAAGAAGGGATACGTAAAATATAAGGTAGATCTTCATAGACTTTGATAGATGTAATTGATAAGAAACAAGATTGACTTATTCATTAATAGGAAAAAATCCAAGCTTATAATAGTTCAATTTGTCATTAAGACAAGTAGTCTTGATATTATCACGAAGTATTATATCTTATCACTTACATTAAATTGTGGTTGTTCTTTGCGATGGACATTTGCATTAACTTTTTTTTTTCGTTCTTGAAGTCTTTTTAATTGTACCTTAATTGTTGCATGTAGCTCTTACAAATGATTTGCCAAATCTCTTTCCATAAGATTATCAACTTTTGAAAAGTCAAAATTATCAAGTCATGGATGATAACCATAGTTAACAAAGAAAGATGTTTGTTGAGTGGAAAAATGTAACAAATTATTGTACGCAAACTTTGCTTGTAGTAAAAGAGTTGTTCAATCATCTTAATTATAGTTGATGGTGCATCTCAAGTACTACTCCAAAACTTAATTCATCCCTTTTATTTGTCCATCAATTTGAGAATGAAAAGCCAAAGAAAGCTTCATATCCACCTTTAAAATCTTAAAAATGATTTTCCAAAATCTTGATTTAAATTGACTCTTTCTATCTAATATAATATCTTTAAGTAATCCATGATAACAATAGATGTTGTTAAGAAAAAGCTTAGCCGTTTCTTCACCTGTGATAGATTTTATGCATGGTACAAAACATGCCATCTTAATAAAATAATCTATTACTACAAATATAAAATTATACAAACTTAAGATTAGAAGATCCATGATAAAATCCATAGAAACAGAAGACCATGATTGTTTTAGAATAGGTAATGGTTGAAGAAGTCCAAAAGGTTGATGGCAAGGAGTTTTGAATCTTGAACAAATATCATATGATTGTACAAAGTCTTTGAATGCCTTCCACATTTGAAGCCACTAAAAATCTTTTAATATTAGCTCCAAAGTCTTGTTATATCCAAAATATCTAGCTATTAGAAAATTATGACAAGTTTAAAAAACACTTAATTGAATCCCACCTTTTAGAATGTATAATTTTTTTCAAAAATAGAGTAGGTTGTTCTTGAACTTGAACTTAGAAGTATAATGAGACTTAAAAGAATTATTTTTGATATCATAGATAAAAGGATTAGAAGACATACTTGATTGAATTTTCTTGACAAATATTGAATCAAGAATTAATATTGATTTTATTACCGGAAGGTGAAAATATTTTTACTTTAAGATAATTGTTCTTTATTGATCAAAAGATACATCTCTTTTTTTTCGTACAAGATAAGAATGTTTAAAAAAGGCATTTCACAAGCCTTGTTGTTTTTAGGTTGATAAGTGATCTTGAAATCAAATGTTGATAAAGACATATTCCAACAAACTTAGTGACGATTTAAAATACGTGTTGACATAAAATAATGAAGATTATTGTGATTTGTATACATAGTGACTA